ATGCATATGCAACCTGAAACTGAAAAATAAAAAAAAAAAAAAAGAAAAAAGGAAAAAACTTCGAAGAGGATTTGGAAGTTGTCCTTCCTCCTTTGTCCTACACGTAAACAAGCCACTGGGTTCAGCACCCAATCTGCTAAGGAAAACATGCCACCTTCAAATTCTCCTTAACCCTATAATAAGATCGAACCTGAATTAAATCGAACAACTTCGCAGCATCTGTTGGTACCTTTGTTAAAGAGCATGTCTCATTTCTTGCAAGCCACAATGTCCATAGTAGATCAAACCACACTATCTATGATTTAGCATATCAAGTTGAAATTGTTATACAAACATGGATCTTAACCTATGATTTAGCATTTTCTTCTCCAGAGATGAAAACAAAAACTATTGCGAACAAGAGCAATAGATGTTCACAAGGGTTGACTTAGTAAGATTCGTTCACTAAGATTGTCCCTTTTTCAATTAGAATCTCATTATTAGCAATCCGTTATGGATTGGTGATCTGATAGCATGCCCTAAACTATCCTGCGTACCAAAAAAAAAAAAAAAACAAGCGCAATAAATATCATTTAAAATTAAAGGCGCTGCAAACTGTACAGAAAATTAAATAAAAGCAGGGAAAAGGGTTGCTTGGTTGTTTTCATCATTAACAGCATAACTAACTGGCCTTTAAATGAGCATTCCTGGATGTGTTTGGACACATCACAATTCTGAGGCTGCAAGAAACTGTCGTTGTCAGTGTCTTCAAAATTTGAAACCACTTTCTTTGTGCGGTTTGCCTTTTAATATATCAATATATCAAACTAACTTTTTCTGCCTTCCCTACAGCTCCTGTGGTCCGTGCTTGGCTCTTGGTTGCTTCCATGGGATCTTGTACTCTTTTTTTAATAGTTAGTGTCCATTTAACAGAATCCATTACTCTGTAATCTTATTTATAATTTCACTTTCCTTATGAACCAATTTATTGATTTGTGGATGTTAACCTTCCTCACTTTCCACCTTTCCACAACTCTAAAGTAATGGTGATTGGCTCCTCATTTTCTTATGTAAGTAATAATGATTAACTCCATACTTTCTCATATATTTAACGGTGATTAGCACCTATTTTCTCATACATTTACTTGGTGATGAAATTCCTATTTAAGTAGGTGAGTAATTCTTGTAACTCCTACCATTCTTCTAGTCTCATTATATAGGGCTAGTAACTTATATGGAAAAGATATGGAAGATAGAAAAAAAAAAAATCCTTCATTTTCTCATTAAAATCTAATTCATACTTATTTTCTAGTTGTTTCCATCTTTATTTTACAATATGTTAAACATGAATTGTCTGTATATGATTTATTTCTAGATTTCAATTTAAGGTAATTAATGGTCCAGTTGAGATCAAAATCCGAGTTGAGGTAAAATTTTAAGGTAAGATTTTGAGACAATTTCATTTTTCATTTTCAGTTTCTAGTTCAAATATTTTATGGTATTATAACAATTCTCTAAATTTTATGTTATATATAAATGTCATAAGTGTTGGAATAGGTCCAACATTCAACTTGGGCTGTACATAATGGGTCTAGACTGCCGCCCGTTAGCCCAAAGTGAGGGAGCACCAGTACATCAAGTACAAGCATACCCATGTGGGCAGTGCCATGTGGGCCAATGGGATGCTTACATGTATAGACGCATGTCAGCATTTGGGGTTATAAATACCTCCAACTACTTTTGATGAAGGTAAATGAATTCCTCTGCGTTTCTCTCTCTGCAATTACTCCTTGAGAGCATCTCTCTCTAGAGTATTGAGTATTGCTAACTTGAGCGTTGGAGTGTCTACCCCGAGGAAACTTCCTCGGGATTTTCAGGTGTTGAAGCAGTTAAAGACATCTACACTGCAGGTGTGTGAAGCTGCCCAAACAATAAGATTTCAATTGGATACTCATTGTCAACAATTTTTGATTTTGGGAGTTACAATATCTTCATGTATATATCCATACTATGTGAAACAATACACAAGCTACATGAAAATATTTTGAAAGTTGAGGGACTAAATTGACAGAAGAAAGTTTGCACTTAGAGACGTAAATGAATGAATTTAAAGCTATAGGATCAAAGTGCTCAACATGTAGAAGCTGGAAGACCAGATTTGCTAGTGTTTCGTTGAAGAAATTGCCACGATAGTGTGTGGATACACCTTGTAAGTATCAACACCATGCATTAAGACTTTATTTTGCCTAGTGAATCTCGAAGCAGAAGTTAGCAATTTTCAAAATTCATTAGTGAAAATATATAAGCTATATGAACTAATGTGTTTCGTAAAACATGAGTGAGGATTCGTAAGTTTCTATGTAAGTTAAGGAATTTCATAATATATAATGCATTTTTATTTATTTAAATTCATAAAGAGATATAGTAAATTAATAGATGATGATATGTTTGGTATAATTCGAGAAAATATGTTAAATAGGATAGAAATTCTTATTATTACATAAAAATAAATACCTTTGAAATATATTAATCTAAGTCTTATATTAGTTGACTATAGGAAAATTGGATATCTTAAAACTCCAACTCTTGTTGTCACTTAAGTTAGTTTATTTTTTGAGTTTAGTTAATTAGTTCACTAAAATTATTTAATTTCGATTGTTCAAAGATAATTAAAATTAGTTAATTTTGGTACTTAATTAGTCTATAATATTTTTGAAACAATATTTGATTCTCATCATTATATTATTTGAAGTAACTAGTACTCTTGTTAAAATGAAATTAGCTTATCAAGTTCTTGACACAGTCAGGTATTATTTATTTTAAATACTATCAAAGCTAATTAATTCTAGTTTTAATTTTCTCTCTCCCAATAAAAAAAAAAAAAGACCAAACTCATTTTTGTTTTCAGTCTTTGCGTGGCAGGCTTCCTAAGATCTTCTTAGGCATGCTTTGTTGCTTTGAGATTTCTGTAATTGCTTTGCTTTCAAGTTTTCTTTACAGCAACAACAATCTCTCTTCCATTATTCCCAAGGCACTCAGTCTTGCTGCTGATCGTACTGCTAAAGATAGGATCTTTTGAACCTCTTGCCCTCTTTTCACTCCTGTCAAATGGATAAGCCCTTACTAGGATGGATGAAGCTCAATTTAGACAATTCAGGAATTGCGAACCCAAGATCAGCAGGTGCAGGAGGAGTTATTTGTGATAATAGAGGCAACTAGGTTATGGGTTATGCCCAAGAAACTTGGCATTGGTTATAACAACATGGCTAAATATGGGGACTTAGGAATTGGTTTAGTGATTGCTATGAATTTGGGCATCACAGCACTTAAAATTGAAATTGATTCTATGATTGTTAGGAACATTCTGACCAAAGACGTCGAAAACACTAATACTGTTGTTACTCCACTGATTGATTCATGTAGGTTGTCGATCCAGCAGTTGGCTAGGTGCACATGGCATGCTCAGGGGTGGAGCTAGAAAAATCCTTTAAGGGGCAAAATGAAACAATGATAAAGAAATCATTTAGAATTGCATAAAAAAAATAAAAATTTAAGAATAAAAATAATTAATTAACATAAAAATTAGTTATCATAATAAATGATTTTCAAAAGTTTAGGGGCGACCTGGACCCAAGAGCTCCTACCTCCGTTGGTGGGCATGCTTCTAGAGAAGCCAGATTTGAATTTTAATATTTTTTAAATTAATTCAATTTAATTGATTAATAAAATTTTTAAAATAATCCAATTCACTATTATAAGATAATCAAACTAATTTCACTTAAATTAAATCGATGTAGTTTTTTTTTTTTTTTGGTACATAAGAAGCTAAACAAAGCTAAACAAAGCTAAGTCCTAAGGAACAAAGTTCCCATGTTGTCTCTATGAAGAATGTTCCCAATGCCTTCAGGTGGATTCAGGAAGAATGTAGTGCCTTGACTAAGATTATGGCCAAGTGAGGCCATAAAATCAGCTACTGAGTTCCCCTTGCGCAAAGTGTGCTAGATTGTGCAAATTGTGAAGGAGTCTATCAAATGGAAAATATCTAGCAACAATACAGAAGACAGACCTTCCCCAGTTTTCCTCGCTTGTATCATCTGCACAGCTAAAAGAGAGTCCATTTCAAGAACCAAGTGGGTAATTCCTAGCGCAGAGGCCAACTGAAGACTAGTGCGGCAACCCCAAAGCTCTGCCATGTAGCTGGTTTGTTGTCCAATGTTAATGGCAAAACCATGCCTCCACCGGCCTCCATGGTCACAGATGAGTCCGCCAACACTAGCACTCCCAAAGGAAAGGTTCATTGCCCCATCTGTGTTTGACTTAAGAAATGGAAAATCCGGAGGTAACCATTTCACCCATCGAGGTGAACGGGTATGTGCCATAACACTTGTTGACAAAGCCAACCTTGTATCAGCTACTAAGGAGGAAGCTTACTGGTAGAGGACATGAGGAGGAATCATCCAATTGTCAAAAATAACTGTGTTCCTACCCTTCCAAATTACCTAGATGGTAGATAAAGGGAATGTAGACCAGTTGCGAAACATGGCATCATTAGACGAAGTATCCTGCACATTCCTTCTCAATCATTCTTCAAAGCTCAAATTGAAAAAGGTATTAGGGAGGACAATCGAAGACTCCCAGATCAAGCGGGAATGGAAACAGTCTCTCAAGAGGTGCAATGGTGTCCCCGGTTCTTGCTCACATCTTGGGCAAATTGGGGTTGCTGCAAAATGTCTCTCAAAGCTCACAAAATTGGTGAGTACTTTGTTTCTTTGAAGAAGCCAAACAAACAATTTTATTTTTTCTAGGCATTACAGCTTCCATCTCCACTTCTAGTGCTCTTCTTGCTGAGTCAGATTAACATGCTATTTTTGCAGTAGGTAGAAAGCAAACTTTATAGAAAAAAGACCATCTTGTGAACCACTCCAATATGCTATATCTGGTTGCTGTGCAAACATTGGGATTGGGATTGCCAAAATCCTCTCCACAACATTTCTAGGAAGAAGGTGCTCGAGCAAGACCTCGTTCCATTCACCAGTTGGAGTAATAGCATGGGAAACAAGGATATCCATGGAAGCAGGTAAAACTTGTGAATGAGCCTCTTCATGTAAAGGCTTGTCATCGACCCAAATATCCTGCCAAAATTTTATCTGTTGTCCATCACCTACCCTTCATCTCAAGCCAAGTTGCAAGATACTCTTGCACTTCAGAATACTTTTCCAATGTAGCTGAAGTTGTTTGGGTAATGGCGCAATGCATTAAGGACCCATTTTTCAGATATTTTGCCAAGAGTGCTTTACACTAAGGCTTATTCAGAGTAGAGATTAATTGCCAGCCAAGCTTAGTGATCATGGCTTGATTGTTTTCTCTAGCAAATCTTAGACCTAGGCCTCCAAGATCTTGTGGCGTACATATAGTATCCCAATTGACCAAGCGTGGCTTATTTGCTACATCAGAGCCCCAAAGAAACCATCTGTTCAGGCTGTCAATAGCAGAGCAAACGCTATTTGGCAACAAGGTTGATTGCATTGTATATGTAGGGATCGTAGAAGTTATGGATTGAACCAAAATTCTCCTCCAAGCCATGCTTAATAGACTTGTATTCCATCCAGTCAATTTAACTTGAATTTTTTTCCAAAATATGTTTATAAGTAGAAGCCGAAGGTTGCCCATGAAGAATTGGCACCCCCAAATAGGTACCTAAATCAGATGTGAGAGGTATGCCACTAGCATCACTCAAAGCCCCAGCTACATGACTTTGTATATTCGGTGAAACATATAACTTGGACTTTGTTGAGTTGATTTCTAGCCTGGATTCCTTTGAGAATTCCTTTAAACAATCCATGACTACCTCCACCTATTCTTGAGCGGCTTCGCAAAAGAGCATTAGATCATCTGCAAAGAATCGGTGTGAAAGAGCAAGTCCCTCTCTGGATATCTTGAATGGCTTCCATAACTTGGATTGCACCTTACTTTGAATCTTATGAGACAACATTTCCATAGCCATGATAAACAGATAAGGTGAAAGCGGATCCTCTTTCCTTAGTCCTCTTTGTGGATTAAAAGATGGTAATTCTTCCTCATTCCAAAGGATTGAGAGTTGTAAAGAGGTTATTGAAAACATGATTAGTTGTATCAAAGGAGCTGGGATGTTAAAATCTTGCAGCACTTGTTGAAGAAAAGACCAATTGACGCTATCAAAGGCTTTATGGAGATAAATCTTCCACACCATAGCACCTTTTTTGCCTCTCATTTTGCGCATTGAGTGAATTGCTTCTTGGGTTAAGATTATATTATCTGTTGTGCATTTTCCCTTTAGGAAACTATTCTGGAATGGCCTTATAAGTTGCTGTGAAAAGGGTCTTCGCCAATTCACCAGTATTGTAGAAAGCACTTTATAAGCAACATTTAACAAGCAGATGGGCCGGAAGTTTTGAATCACATGTGGACTGTCCCCTTTTGGAATTAAAGCAATGTGCACCTTAAGTAGAGAGGGATCAAAGTGACCATCTTGTAAAGCATTAGTAATAAAGGTCAACAACGTACCTGACACCTTCTTCCAGTGCTTTTGATAAAAAATAGGTTGAATGACGTCTGGTCTTGGGCTCTTTAAACCTTTCATAAAGAATAAAGCACATCTGATCTCCTCTAGCTCCATTGGCTTTAGGAGAGAGTCATCATCTTCTTTTGTTAGTCTCGGTTGGTAGGCTGTATAGTTGCTACTGGCCAGATGAGTTTCTTTCCTAGTAAATAGCCCAATAAAGAAGCTATTTATGTGTTCCTTCAAAACATAAGGCTCGCTTACCCATACACCATCAATCTTTAAAGTTGAAATCCTGTTCCTGCTTCGTCTAATTACCGTCAAAGCATGATAAAAAGCTTTGTTCCTATCACCAAAAGCAATCCACTCCATATGTAATTTTTGGCACCAAAATAACTCCTCTGCATGCAAAACTTGGTGATACTCTTTCAGTAACTCCGTTTCCAGCTCTTATAAAAACCGTGATGTAGGGAAATAAGTTGAGTTTTGAATACCCTCTAACCTACCCCTTAACTGTCTTTTCCTGTGGAATAAATTACCAAACACTTCTTTGCTCCATTGCATGCATGCAACTTGAACTGAGTTAATGGTAGAGGTTATGGATGACTTGTGCAAGGACCAAGCATCAGTAAAGATTCGCTTGAAGGCCTTGTGTGTTAGCCATGCAGCCTCAAAGCCAATAGGGTTGAATGACTTGTCTTTTTGCATAGAAGCATCTGAACAGAGCAGAACTAGGTGGTGATCACTGCAAAGCCAAGGAAGATTGATCACCTTAGCATTAGAAAAGGTATTGAGTGCCATTAAATTGAGCAAGGCTTTGTCAAGCCGTTCCCTCAACAATACTCTCCTATTCTGTTTGCGTAGCCTAGTGTATTTACATCCCAATGGTTCTGTAGAATGTAAATTGCAATTAGAAAGTCTATCCCTGAAGCGTTGAGCTCTCACGAAGCCTTTCGTTGCTCTTGGGGATGCTTTTTCCACAGTAAGGATGTCGTTGAAGTCTCTCATTACCACCCAATTACCTTGGATATGTTGAGGTAGGCCATGAAGTTGATCCCAGAATAAATCTTTCATAGCTACATGCGATTAGATCGATGTAGTTAGATCAGATTAGTTAGTTTTTAACATTATTAAATATATGAAATAATATAAAACATTTTAATATCAAGTAGTAAATGTAACTATAAAACATATTAAATTCTCAATTAGTAGAAATATAATTAAAAAAAGACAAATAATAAATAAGTTCTTTTATTCCTTTACAATTGTAAAGATTAAAAGGGTCTAAAAATTCTTTTTGATCACATCATTAGAGACACCAAGGATAAAAAAATTTACTCCAAATTTTAAAGTATAGTATAAGTAATTCTTAAATGTTAAAACTGATATTTATTTTTCCTTAATGCACCAGTGACTCAATCCTATATTTCAAACCCTATTAGAAACAAATAAAATTTAAAGTAAATATCACTAAGATTGATTAGAAGTTTCCCTAATTGAAATTTAAAAATTTTTAACCAAACATCCAAGATTAGTAAAATTTCAAAACTAATTCTATTATAAAGTTTTAAGACTTTTGGAATGATGTTTCTTTAAGGTTTAATTAGAAATATTATGATATCATATTAGGAACATATTAAAAATTTAGGATTTTAAGAGCAAAGTTGTAGACTAGTTATGAGGTGTAGAATTATAGTTAAATTAAAAATTTAGAATTAGGATTAGAGTATGTGATTAAGAAGGAAAAATAAATAAGGGAATATAGGGATGCTCTATTTTTATTTTTTAATTAAATTAATGAAGTTACTATCTTGTAAAATAAAAATAAAATAAAAAAATTTAAAATATTACAACAATATATATTATAGTATTTAACTAAGTTATCTTTTAATCAGATTTTATTTTGTAATTAAGCGATTCGGACGATTTGAAAGTAAAATTACAAACTAAACTACTTATATATCAATTTAATTTAATTTTTGATTAGATTGAATCAGTTTAGGTTAAATCAATCGAATTAGATTGAATATAAACACCTCTACTTACAGTTATAGCACAATCAAACTAAGCCTAAATAACAATATATTATATGAAAAGGGAGATAACGCACCGCCTTAGCCGCCAATAGAAGTAGAGTCAGGCACTACCCTCTCATATTTACACTTTAATAGAGTTGAGTGGATACTTCTTTAGCCTATGTTGATGAGTATAAGGTTTTGTGTGAGGTTTGAAATGCTAATTGAATAATCAATGTGACAATAATTGAAATTCATATCATACTTACATTTGAGGCGGGCATGTAATAAAAAAATTCTACACCAAAATAAGCTCAAATAAAAATATACTATAAACTATTTTTATTGTACTTATTATTAATTAATTTTAAGCAGCATGTTCAATTTATGTTTTAAAACCTATTGTTAGGTAGGGTTTATATATTGGATGTTATTGGTTCAAGACCAAGCTTCGACCAAGATTTTAGGGTCCCACAAATTTTTTCTATCGCATACAAATGTAATTAATACTTCTTCTCTGTTAATATATATATATATATATAAAAACTTCTTCTCTGTTAGTTTTTAATAGATTTAGTTTAATTTTTTAATTTTTGGATATTATTTCCTTAACAATCCTCAAGTGACTTTGCATAGGGCAAATCTGGATGCAATCGTACCACATGCTGTGTTGTAATGCAAGAAAGAAGAATTTTCCCAACAACCATCTTCTTCCTCATAGTTGACCTCCTTGTAGATGGATGGAAGAACATTGGTTTAAAGTCAAAATTTGTGCCTTCAGACAATTTGTAAGAGGGAGGGATGCTTTCCTGTAGAATTGGTAGCTAATTTTGCTTTGAACAACTCCAAGGACTTAAACACTACTATGAATTGGAATTAATAGGTCTTAAATGAACTAAATGTCATGCAAATTAAAGTAAACTTGCAAATAAAAGATGTGTCCAAATTAAACTAAGTATATTGATTGTTGAATTAAACTACTATTTACGGACAGATTTGGAATTCAAACTACTATAGAGCTTGAGATTTAATCCTAAATAATCATGAACCTAATATGAACAAAGATTAAACTAACATGCTAGAAATTAAGAAGAAGTGTGAACGCCATATAAGTAATCATTTGGAGAAACACTATTTATCATAAACATTAAACTAATACCAATCAAAAAAAGAACAATACCTTGTAGAAATTGAAAAGTTTGATATTCATTATACAAAAGGAAATTGTAGAAGCAATTACACGAACTAATTTGGCTACTAATGCTGAAAACAACCTAAATCTGTTAGGATCTATGTTGAAATTGAAATTCGTAAGCTAAAGTGAGCAATCGATAGAAAACTAGAGAATTGAAAATTTGATGAGTTGATGTAGGGCTAGTTGTGTGTTGAATGATAAAAAAGATTTCCTTTTGTTTGTCTCCTCCTTGCTTGCAATTCCTCACTACTAAGCAATTGCATGGATGTGGGTGGTTTTCTAAAGAGGATGGACACCTCAATAGTAGATTGAATCAGATTTTCATCCAAATTTTGCCATTTGTCTTTGTTATTTGTCAGCTTACAATTTTAATTGAAACAAACTCCTAAAAACTAGTTGAAGCAATTCTACCATGACTCAAATAGGCTACTAAAGAATAAATCTCGTATCTTCGTCCTGTTCTTCTCTCTTTCTTTTTCTTTTCTTTTTGTTTTTTAAATTATGTGACATCTAATTTGTTAAGGGTCCCAGGATAACATATCTGATATGGCTCAATCTCTTCCAACCATTTAAAATAAATAGACATGTGGCATAATCTTAAATCTTGCAATTTATGGTGTAAATAGATATAAACTTTTTTTAAAAATTTAATAACTTATATGAACAATAATTGAATTTTTTATATATGAAGTTTTTTTGAAAATATTTTTATTTGATTAAATTTTTAAAATTATCTTATATAATATGCTAAATTTTTATTTAAAAATTCGTGTCTAAAAAGTTAAAAAATCAAATTAGATATGTTAAAAATATACAAAGGGAGTATAATTATAGGATAAAAATACCACACAAATAAATTTGTT